CATCAGCAGGCAACCTAACAGTAAATATAGCGCAATTCTGCACGACTCTGCTCACTAATGGAGCGCTGGGATGTGTTAAGTCCACCTGGGCTCAGAGCTTGGGATTCTCCGTTCGCGCATTTTGTTATTGATATGTCGATCGCTCTCTTCCTTCGTAAACTATTTTTCAAAATGGTTTATGTACCCATCCCTCCGCGAAAACATAGAATAAGAGAGCTTTCCATCCACTGTGTCCCCCCAAGCTCATTCACACCTGTGGCGACGCAAAGTGGTGTTTCAACTGGATGTGTCAGTACAACAGTAAAAAATTACCTATACCTTTCTAGGAATTACTTTTGATAATGCGATTCCAACGGATGGGATATCCAAGAGAGTCGACACTGCTGCAGAAAGCACAAACTTTGACAACAACTCCAACAGTACGTTAATAAAATGCTTATAATACAAGTCGTAAATGAATAACGTGTGAGATGGAGAAACAAAATTCTTGACATTTTTTTCCTCCTTCTTTTGCATATTACTCATTAAACTTTGAATTGCGTTATATTTATTTGATATCATAGATTTAGTCAATTTTTCAAAGGCGTTTTGGGAAAATGCATAACGTTTTGAAATATTGAACATGCTTGATTCCAGGGATAAACCTTCAAGCTAAAGAAATGTATGAAACCGCAAAACTTTTTGATAGAACAGGAAGCAAAAAAATTATTAGGACCTTAGGCTAATTTTCTTTTACAATATCAGTATAGTTCTTTACAGGTTCACATTGTCAATATGATATTGTATTCGTGTTTGATGCATCCGGCTCACTCGAGGAGGGATTTCAGGAGCAGTTAGGCGGAGCCAAACGAATGGTTGACTCCTTTGACTTTAGCCCTGATACAACTCAGGTCCAAGCCAATTCTTATTTTCCTCGTTTAGCTCTAAAAAAGGCTAATCAATAACTTAGAAAGTATATTTACTGTAGCCGGAAAATTAGCATCCCAAATATTCAGGTTTGCTAAGCGCATTTTCACGATTTTCTTATGTCGGTTAGGGTATGGCCGTCTCTTCAGATATTAATCATCAAAAGGGGAAAGGACATCAGATAGCTTCTTGTGCGTTACAGGTCGCTGCAGTCAAATTTGCCGGCAAAGGAAAAAGTCAACTGCTGTTTGGTTTTAGGTGCTGTTCAGGTTTTCCTTCTTTATTTTTATAGACACAACCAAATCATTAGGGATTCGTCTGATAAGCCGAACTTAGAGAAAAATATAGCAAAGACGAAATTTCTCGGAGGGACTACGCACACTAACGAGGCTTTAGTGAAAACGGCAGACGTAATCAAGGTAGGCTAATTGTGTGCTATATTTGCGAAAATCCGCATATATATTAATTTATTTAATAAAATACAAATACAGTTTTAAGGCAACCGGACGTGCCGATACAGCAAAACCTATCGTCATTGTCTTTAC